CGCAGACCCCACGGGCTCGCCAGCTGCTCACTCCGGTCCCACGAACCGTCGGCTGCACGCGCACGCCACCTCGGCTCGCCAGCCGCACGTAAGTACTGGTCCCACGGACCGCACAGCTGCACGCGCAGACCCCACGGGCTCGCCAGCTGCTCACACCGGTCCCTCGGACCGTCGGCTGCACGCGCTCGCCGCACCGGCTCGCCAGCCGCACGTAAGTAGGTACTGGTCCTACGGACCGGACAGCTGCACGCGCAGACCCCACGGGCTCGCCAGCTGCTCACACCATTCCCACGGACCGCCAGCGACATGTACAGGCCCCCTGGGCCCACCAGCCGCATACACGCGGCACAAGGACCACTGCTGTCCCGGCACCGCACGTCTTCTTCGGACCGGCCAACCCACTTCATGGTCTAACGTCTCGCCGTCACATAAGAGTAGGAATGGAGCAGCTCAGTCCGGCCAGCCAACGCCCGGCCCTGCCACTGGAACGGAATAAATGCCGCCCCCTCATTGCCGGGCGCCCCAGGAGAATGAATGTTACACATCAACACCAATATGCCTCCCAGTGAAATGCATTATGAATGTCGCCTTTCGACGCCGGTAGGCGCCCCAGACACCAGTGGATTTACTGCCGCCTTAAAACACCGATAGGCACCTCAGTGAAGCGAATGCCGGCCTATACCACCGATAAGCGCCCCGGATGAATAAATACCACCCGTCAACGCCGATAGGCGCCTCAGTGAAATTAATGCCGCCCCAATCTCCGATAGGCTCCCCAGGTGATACATGTCGCCCATCAACACCAACGGGCGCCCCATTTAAATGAATACCGCCCTTCAACACTGGCAGACGCCCTAGTGGAATGAATGCCGCCCCACAATGCCGATGGCCGTCCCTGCACTGGAAAATCAGTTTCGCCCCTATACAGGCGCCCATAGGAGTTTGCAGAGTGCTATTCCTGGTCATAATCATCTCCCAAGTAAAAAAAAAAAAAAAAACGCAAAATACGCCCTAGCACTAGGGGTGTAACCGCCCATACGGACAGTGCAATTTTACAGGCCCCAATCTCGGACCTCCCTTAACATTCATATGTTGTAAACGGCAAACCACCCCCGATAAATGTTACACAAACTAATTTCCTCTCGCATATCGGCCATCAGGCGCCCCTTTTTGTCGCATGGAGCCTGCAACGCTATAAGCCCTCATATGTTCGTGTTGGCGTTCGGAGGCTATCGCCTTCAAAGACGTCTCCATAAATATTTCTTTTTCGTCCCACACACAGGCGCCCCTCTTTCGCATGCAGGCGCCCCTCTTCCGCATGGCGCGCTTCTCGAGTGGCTGCGCCGGTGCGCCCTCCTAGCCTTTATCGCCTGGCAAGATTATATTCGACAGGGTCGGCAGCATCTGCCTTTGTTTCAGATAAGGATGCCCTCCACTCTTCAGCATATCAAAAGATACTTTTCCCACGACATTGCCACCCTCTTCGTGTCACAAGTGGGGCGTTCCACGACAAATCGACAAATAAAAAATTAAATTTGCACCCTCATATTTTATTCTTCGTTGAAAACTGGTGTAAGGGGTTGTGATGGGCGGGGAAGCCAGCTGTGGCAAGGATTTTTTTCTTCGAACAACGGTTTTCGAGATATAGCCTCGGGCAATTCCTGGATTTCGCGCTGCAGCCCTATGTTTGGCGGCCTATAACTCAGAAACTATCGGCTTTTTATGATAAAAACTTTATATGGTTCAACTCACAATCAACCAACAAACATTTTGGCTATCTCGGATTTTCACTTTTTGAAAATTTTGATCACGTGACCTTTTGTCCTATTTTTCGAAGAGTGACCTTGATATTTTCCCCACTGAAAGTTGCAATTTTGTCTGATGACGATTAAAGCCTTATCGATTGTCATTCATATGCGATAATAAAAAAAGTGGTTATCGCCCTGCGTTGACCTCAGGTCAGGTCATTTTTATGACCTGTCCATTATTACGAGCGGGAGCGACAGCGAGATCTCGAGAATAAAGCAAGATAGCGACAAGCGGTAAACGGTAAAGGGTACACACGGATAAGGTCTATAATTTTTACTGAGGTCATTTTCAGGTCAGGTCAAAGATGACGTCACAGGAGCTAAAAGGAAGTCAAAATGCGGCACTATACATATATATGAAGTTTTTCTCATATAACTTTCAAGGTATCCCAGCTAGGAACAAACTAATAGCACCATCGTGATCCTCTCGTCGATCCGCATCGAAACATATGTATGTTGACTTCGAAAGGTCGAAAGGTCAAAAGTTGACCTTAGATCACGTCACCTAAGGTCAACTTTTGACCTTTCGACCTTTCGAGGTCAACAAACATATGTGTCGATGCGGATCGACGAGAGGATCACGATGGTGCTATTAGTTTGTTCCTAGCTGGGATACCTTGAAAGTTATTCGAGAAAAACTTCATATATATGTAACGTGCCGCTATTTTGACTTCCTTTTAGCTACTGTGACGTCATCTTTGACCTGACCTGAAAATGACCTCAGTAAAAATTATAGACCTTATCCGTGTGTACCCTTTACCGTTTACCGCTTGTCGCTATCTTGCTTTATTCTCGAGATCTCGCTGTCGCTCCCGCTCGTAATAATGGACAGGTCATAAAAATGACCTTACCTGAGGTCAACGCAGGGCGATAACCACTTTTTTTATTATCGCATATGAATGACAATTGATAAGGCTTTAATCGTCATCAGACAAAATTGCAACTTTCAGTGGGGAAAATATCAAGGTCACTCTTCGAGAAATAGGACAAAAGGTCACGTGATCAAAATTTTCAAAAATTGAAAATCCGAGATAGCCAAAATGTTTTTTGGTTGATTGTGAGTTGAACCATATAATTTTTTTATCGTAAAAAGCCAATAGTTTCTGAGTTATAGGCCGCCAAACATAGGGCTGCAGCGCGAACTGCAAGAATTGCCCGAGGCTATATCTCGGAAACCGTTGTTCGAAGAAAAAAATCCTTGCCACAGCTGGCTTCCCCGCCCATCACAATCCATTAGACCAATTCTAAGCAAAAAATAAAATATGAGGGTGCAGGGCACTTGTCGATTTGTCGTGGAACGCCCCAAGTGCCTTTATCAGTTGCGGTGTCGCACTGCTCAGCTTTATGGCTGCCGCACCTCTTAACTTCCTGCCTCCTCTACAGATTTTCGAGGCGCCCCTTTCCATAGCTTTAGGGTGCAGCTGCCCCCCTTGCCCCCCTGCTTCCGCCGCCACTGACTCGTCAACAATTACCTACTGACACTACTGTCCAAACCTGCTACCTATGAAAAAGGAAACGATCAAAATCATACGATAGGTATTGTATTTTTACGTCTTCTAAGCACAAAGGACAAATTAAATTGCATTTTCGACAAAAAAAAAACGATAAGCTGGGAAAACCTCGAAATATCCTGCTGCTCTAGGTACCTATTGATACTTCGTAGGATTTTTAGGCGGCGGTTAACAGGGGGGGGGGGGCCGGGGGGGGGGGGCACAGCGGGGCACCATGCCCCCTTTGATTTTGGTATTTTAACCCGGCAGGCGGTGGGCCTACCAGCCACCTTTCGCGCGGTGGGGGGGGGGGGCATTTCCCCCCCCTAGTATCTCCGAAACTACTGGACGAATCCGGAAAATTCAAACGGCGTTCGATAGCCCTGTCAAATTTGTCGAAGGAAACCAAATTTCATTGGCTTCGGGGTCACCGATGACGTCACAGGTCAGGTCAAAGATAAAATGTTTCACCGTTCACGGGGCTTCTAGGGAAAGTACTATAACACCGAGTAAAACGCATTTTGTCGAAAATCAGCGACAAGGCGTCAGTTTTCTAGTACATATGTTGGTATTAGAGGTCACTGGTCATACCAGGTCAGGTCACAGGTCAGGTCACCAAAGGTCACCAAGGGTCACCACATGAGCCCAACTTTACTAAGGTTGTGCGATGCATGTTTTATGGCCAGTTTTTTCATTTCCAACTCAATGGTATTGGTTATAAGACCATCAGGTACGGTTTAGGTCACTTTCTGGTGGAGGTCAGGTCAAGGTCAGATCAAAAAAGGTCAAATTTCAAAGTTGTTATTTTTGCATAAAATGGGTATCGATTCGATGCAGCTCGTCACGGGGAGTCTAATGGTGGTCTTTGTTTTGCGCTACGAGGTCTAGAATTGCTAAAATTTGAGTTTGAAAATTTGACGTCATCAATTTTGAACAGTTTTTTTCGCTATAACTTGGCCAAAAAGAGGTATTGATCTCAAATTTGGTATGTAGATAGAAGGCGGTAGGGACTATCACATATATTCCGGTTTTTTCGAAATTAAAAAAAATGGATTTTTCGGCTATTATTTTCAAAAAATCTATTTTTTGATTTTTGGGGGTCAAAATCCAAAAAATCCGAAAAACCGAAATAGCAGTTTTGTAGCCCTCTTGATTCCACACATTTTATGTCTGAATCATTTTTCTGTATCTCTAAAGCTGTTGGCCTGACAGCTCTTCCCGCGAAACCTTTTTTGGGTCGAAAATTGCAAAAATGACGTCACTCTGACGTCATTAGCGGCTAACCTATCATAGCCTTTGGAAAAAATTTTGATCACCACGTGCGCTAGCTACTCCCGGGAGGGTACTGAAAGTTTGGGGACGATCGGCGCAGCGGTTCTCGAGATATATCGAAAAAAAAAACTAAAGGGGGGGGGGAAATGTCCCCCCCCCCACCGCCTGGAAGGTTAACATTAGCCCTATGAGCGTTGCATGGAAAGAATGGGACCAAAAGTCGGCAATGCCCCCCCCCCCCCTCAATTGAAGGTGTTCCGCCGCTACTGCAAAAAGATAAGCTGGGAAAACCTCTAAATATCCTGCTACTCTAGGTATTGGTACTGTGTAGGATTTCAGCAAACAAACCAAAATTCAGCATATTTTCCAAAAATAAATTCCTCCGGTTCTAACACTTCACTATCCTGATCCCCATTCGGTCATTCCTTACCTTTCTAGCCAAAACAAAGATCAGTGTTGGAGATGTGTGATGGTTTCCGCACCTCAGGGTATCTCCCTCGGCTCAGACTGCTGCCACCGCCCACAGCGACTTCCCTCACTCTCACACCGAGTCGGTTCGTGTCCCACACCACTCTCGACTCTCCACACAGCTCGTACACCCGCTCTCGTCGGCTGTTCGAGCCGCACTCCCGACCGGTTCGGCCGGCGGCGGCGGCGACTATCTACCGGCGCTGCCGCGGCAGAGGCTGAGTGACGTCACCCGAGCTCACGGCGGAGCGGGGCGGCGGCCACTGGAGTCTGGATGGGATACTTTGAGGTTTGAATGGGATACTGTGGATGGGATACTGTGGATGGGATAAGCTGTGTGCGGGATACTTTGTAAGGGATACTGTGTAAGGGATGGTGAGGACTGAGGACGGGGTATTGTGGACGGAACACCGACACTGTGGAAAGAATATTGTGGACGGGACACTGTGGACGGGATACTGTGGACGGGACACTGTGGACGGGATACTGTTGACAGTATACTGTGAACGGGACACTGAGGACGGGATACAATGGGCGGGATACCATGGACTGTGGAGTGTGGTGTTACTATGGGGTACCGTGGACGGGACACTGTGTATGAGATACTGCGGACGGGATCAGTGGAAGGGACACTGTGGAAAGGATATTGTGGACGGGATACTGTCGGCCGGGCACAGGCGCTGTGGGGGACATTTTTCACGCACTCACCGCTCACTCTCAACTTAGTTCATGCAGGGCACATAACAACGGACAGAGAGTGAAGTTGGAGGGTTCGTTGTAAAAAAAAAAAAACTCGATTTACTACAGTGCACCTATCTATAAAATATAAATTATCATAGCTATGTTATATAAGGTAAAGTTCAGGTCACCAAAATGTGTGGTAAAATGTCAGATTTGAGCGATTTTCTTTACGTTTTGCTTTGCTTACTTGTGCTTTTCATTTTTTTTATAGATTTTTGGGGGTGACAAGTTATTTGTACCTCATAAACCCTTCAGAAGGCGATACATTAGACACCCTAGCTGGTGCGACCCAGTGGCTGAGGGCATTACTAATTAGAACAACTACCCGCCATACCCTGCTATCCGTTTTTGCTTTTTTTAATTTGCATTTAAATAAACGCGTAGAATTGATTTACAACAACGAATTGAAAATACTAAATAAAATATTGCATTTTAATTATAGACGGTCAGATTCTGCCTCACGGGTGGTTTCGACTTTAAATAGTTATATGTCTGTTTGTATAACGACAGAGACATATAATGAAAATTCATAGTTTGGGAGATGCTTCTGACTAAAAAGAAAATGAATTTTATGGGGCGGACGGGAACCTTACACACTGTGCAGGACAGGAGAAATGAATATAGGTAGGGGCATAGTTAGGGGTAGGGGAATATAAGCTCTACGAAATCTTCGAATGACAGATGCCCATGTATGTACTTACGTGCGGTGTGGCCGGCCCCATTAGTTGGTCGCTGTCCTGGGGCTAACCGATGGACGTCTCCATCACCGCCTTCACCGCCGGCGGCGGTGCCCCGGCTCAGGAGGAGCCCCATCGCCCCACCGGGACGGGGAGGAGGGGGAGCCGCACTCTCTCACTCGTCCGCGCTCTCGACTCGGAGTGTGACCGGAGGACGGTGCCACCGTCTCAGCTGGCTGGGGTCGTCGGAGCCGACGATCGGTGGGGCGGGGGAGGGGAGGGGGCGGTTTTGACGTTGCACCCGCGGCTGATGTCACTAAGCGCGTGACATGTCAGCGTTCCCGGGCTTGGCAGCTGGCTGAGGCGGTCGCCGGGCAGCGGCTAGTTGGCACCAGGGCGTTCGTATCCGCTCAAACGGCGGCTGTCAACCGCTGCGCCGCCACCCACCCGGTTATTCCTTCACCCTGGGACTCGAGCTGTCCCTTTGTCGTTAATTTTATCCACGGAACGTGCATATTGAAATCCATTATAAAAAGGGTATGATCCAATGAAAAGTGGTCAAAATTAGGCTGAATTTACGTAAGGTAGGATTAAGTCAGGACATTTTATGTTATTTTTGAACCGTGTCCTTTTCATTCTGATTTCCAATATATATTCGCTTACGGAACATATATGACATCACGATTCCGTGTGCTTGATCATTTACGTTAAAGCATCAGTTCACATTCTGGGTTCTGGCCGCCACACCGAACTTATTTCTAGTTTATGCATTCAATGCTTCTGCAATTAACGTACATAGGTACCTACAGGGTGAGCCATAAAGAATTACCCATCGATAAATTCTCTTTATTCCCAAACGGGTTGGCGTAGGTATGCCATCTTTTGCATATATGTCGCAAATTTGTATCCAATCCTGACAGTGTAGCTCATTTTGTATGTGCTCGTCCACTGTCTCTGTTACGCTCCTGAAATGCGAGGTCGTCTTAACGCACATCCGCCGCTTCTGAAATTCAGGAATCACCACTGGGTGTTGGCTGCTAAACACTCTTTGGTCTAAAGAATCACTCAGAAAACACTTTGAGAACATTTTTGAATAAGGGCTCATATGAGTGCCAAAACAGGGCTCAAATCTGTATGATTTTAAAATCGGGATCAGTTAGGCGCCCTTTTCGGGCTCAAAGTACATTAGCCCCGAAAGCGGCATCAGTTCGTCTTCCTTTTCGGGCTCAATTCGAGCTGCGTTTTAGGGCTCCATACGACATTCCGCCATTCCGTCTTTTGCTGTTTTCAGTGCCGTGTGTTGGTGTACCTACCGCCGTGATTTCAAAATGAATGGTAAGTTATTAGTTATCAGTTATCGCTATCTTTTAGAAAAAATCAAGATGTTGATGCTCATGCCATTTTAATCCCTTATCAATTAAAATTGTGGTGGCATTTGTTCAGAAAAGGTCTGATCTACAATTGTGGCGCCGTTGATACGAATACGCACGGGTTTGATTATTCGTTTTTCTTGTATTTGCGCCACATGAAAGCATCATATCTGGATTCAGGATGTCAAATAGTGTAAGAATGTGCAAAAATTTTGTCTAGTTCTTCGTGATGATGTGATTGAAGCAATGCTTTCAAGGGTAGGTAAGGATTTTGTTACTTGTTCGTAATGGTTATCTTGATGCTCAACTAAAATTAATCCTAACCTTGCCTACTAACCTATTAAGTTAAACTTAGTACCAATACCTACCAACCTACAACCTATTTGGATCTTTCATATACTTATAACATGCTGCTGCTTCTGCTAACATGCTGCGGAATGCTGGTTGACATGATGGAATGCTGGTATGACAGTGTTCCATGTTTCAGAATTTTAGGTGAATAACCACACATGATGGGGAAAATGTTTTCATCCTAAAAATATGACAAGTGGCTTTATTTCATCTTTGCTAAAAAAAATATGTCAAAAGTTTGATTCAACAGCCAGCTGCCAGGTTACGCATGACTTGACAGTTGATGCATCTACTCTACATCATTTCATTTCAGATCCTGTGAAGGTTCTGACAAAATCTGAGGTAAAAATGGCATTATGCAGTTTTGAGGAAAGACTAAATCTATCTCTTTTTGTCTTCAGATTTTTTTTTTATTTGGACACCCAATTGAAATCCAATTTTAGAACACTGTGACACCATGCCTGTGTGCCAAGTAAGAGGAAGGGTCTACAAGTATACATCAAGATAACCAATTATGGACAAGTTGAGACTTGAGTCATGAGCTCTTATTTGTGGTTACAATACCTTCAACTGCATGATTTTGCACAACTTCCATACAGGCATCCAGACTGGAAAAGGTTCAAGTCCATACTTATTCTGGTGCTTGAATATGGCAGTTCAAAGATGGAAGGCATATGATGCTACAAAATGAAAAAAATAATTCAACTTACAAAAAATAGGTATTCATATCTATCCTAAACTAAACTAACCTAAACTTACCTAACCTAATCCAACCCATCCCAACCACCCCAACCAGCCCAGCCCAGCCCAACCCAGCCCAGCCCAGCCCAGCCCAGCCCAACCCAACCCAAAACCTACAGTCTAAAACCTAGAGCTAAAACCTGCAGCCCAAACTGGAAAACATCCATATGGTACGCCGGACGCCCGTGAAGCCGTCATGCGCCGAAGTTCGGCGCAAGCTATTTTGCAATTTGCGCTGAAATTTCTGCATTATTTGCGCCGAAGGTTAGTGCCCTTTTGCGTCAAAATTAAGCCACTTATACAAAAAGCACGTTTACATCTGCTGGCCAAGGTTTTATAAACCAGACAGAACGCTCTGGGCCTTAACCACTCCTGACTCCCATGTTTGAGCGTCCAAATTAGTTGATGTTTCCATGGAAGCTGAATACCACAATACGTGTAGCGCACTGTAGCATCGTGCCGTGAAATAAGGCTCGGGACGGAAGTTCCGGGGTCACAAAAATTGGTGTGGCGGTGTTGTCGCGGCTGGCGGGCTCCAGCAAGGGGTTTAAGTTTACGACACCACTCTTGTTTCAGGAGAGGTGTCAGCGATTCGAGACTACTTGGGCATGCGGGCAGCGGGGTCGGCGTGGCTGCCTGCGGCTGCGGCCACACATCTTGGCGTCCTGGAGGCGGAGATGCTGATGGTGGCATGAGTCATCACTGGCTGCCCGATTTCCATGCTCCAAGACTCGCCGTGAGGGCCGAGGCGGGCGTCGTGCCGATGGAGAGATGAGGAGGGATGCGCTGGCATCGCGCCTACTGGCGAAGGCGCTCTCCCTCCCGTCGGAGGACCCGCCGCGTCGTGGCGGAAGCCCCCCCCCCCCAACCGTGACTGAAGTCAGTGACCGGCTGGAGAGAGCGCGGGGGAGCGGTGTGGGACCACTGGAGTGGCGCTGCCCGCCGAGGCGCGCTTATCCACGAGACTGCCCCCGTAGACGCCAACAGACGGCGTCACGGTCCACCTGGACCTGCTGCCGATCGGGGCGTCCGCGACAGCGAGGAGGAGTGCTGCGGAGGCGTGACTGGGAGCGCTCCCCCAGCGTGCGACGTGGGCCTGGGTCGACGGGTCTGCGACCGGGGGAGTAATAGGAAGGCGGCGCTGGGGTCCTCACCGAGCACCCAGACAGTACAACATTGGTACTGCGGGAGGCGGCGGGGAGGATTTGCTCCATTTACCGATCTGAGATGGTGGCGCCCAAAACGGCAAAGCAACATCTCCTGAAGCACCCGTCCTTCGAGGA